AGCTGCCGGGGCCGGCAGCGGCATCGCTCTGACCATCGCTCCTTCCCTCCCGGCAGCTGCACGGTCAATGCTACGAGAACAGCGGAGATCCTGAAATACAGGTCACGGCCATGCTGGAGCTGGGAGCCCCCCTGGAGATGATCCAGCTTCTGCAGACCCCCTGGGAGGAGAGATTTAAAGTAAGAAAACAAGGCAAAGGGAGTTTTATCAGTCGCTTTTAGACAGCAAACTGGGTAAAGGCGAAGAGCCCGTGGTGACTGCGGGTGCAAACGGCGTTGTCATGCTGACCCTCTGCTCCCGCAGATTGTCCTTAACGTCGTTTTGCTTTCTCTCCTTCGAAATCACATCGAAACAGCCCTAGGCGGGGGCCGCGCTGTTCTATCCATCTCTCTAAAGCAGCCTTCAGAGGGCTACATCTGCAAGGAAACAGCCACACAATGTTGCTCAGGGCTGGGGTGGTGGTTCATTCCTACCCAGTATTACGCTATATTGCTAGTTTTCCTTCCATACCGCTCCACTGTTCTCTGCATATTGCCGATTTTAGGCAGCACGTGAGCAGCCTGGCCCCCACCATGGGTTTGTATGGCATTTCTAGTCTCAGCCCGTTAGGTATGACTAGTACAAACGCTACTAAATTGCTTTCCTCGTGCAGTAGGTGCTAGGATCACAACCCTGCTAGTGAGATCTGTCTTGGCTCCTAAGCATCCCCCATAGGGGCTCTTTAGCTCCCCAGGAACATAAATGACACATGACATGGCACTTGTTTTGCTTATAGCTTGTATTACAGTTTGCCTCAAGGTCTCAGCTGGGGGTTCACTGCTACTTGTTTCGTTCCCAGGAGGAAAGAGCATCAAGCACGGGTACCTTAATGTCAATGAGAAATGCTTTGGGCAAAATAAAACCACAACAGAAGTCCCAAAATAAAATCCCTGCCTGCATGTGGTCCTTTAATGTTGAAGAGGAGCCTTGCTGCGCTCGCTCAGCTGCAGGACGTGAAGCTGGGAGTCTTCTGGCTGCCTCACTAATGAAGTTAAAATAGCATCAGAGCTTCCAGAGTAATTTCTCGTGGCCTGTGGAGTTCCACTCCTGCTTACAAACTATTTCTGACTGGCTTCTGCATAGCTTTCCCAGCACCTCATCTTCTCAAATATGCCAAAGTCTCCTGCAGAGCTAGAAACCCATGATGCTGGATTAGCTGGTGGTAAGGTCTGGAATGGTGGCATTAAGATTTCAATAATCTTTGACAGATGAAGACACTAATTCAGAATTTACACTGGTACTGTCTAGTCCTGTTTCCTAATTAGGGCATCTAAACAGATGGGATTCCCTTCTGATGAGCCACATCAGATACCAGTGATCCTGCGAGCTGTTCCAAGTGAACGAACCCTCGCGCCTGCACAGATCGCTATCGGAGCAGCGACGGGTGGTGCGGGTCTGCCTGGCACACCTAGCTGACAATTGTCTGGTGCCAGGGCTCGCGATACTGAATGAAAACTGCTGCAAAAAGCTCCCTGAGCAAACTGCCAGTTGCACTATAAATGTGCTCTTCTAGCCCTGGTTTGTTCAGAAAACGTTTGCTGAGCTTTCTGCTGGACCAGGTATTGTCTGACCTTTCCCTGCTGCCAGAAAGTTGACATAAAAAGCAAAGAAGCTGGCAATAAATACATCGCATGCTTTGGCTAATTCTTCAGAAGCACGATTGTGTGCCTAAATTCATACTGCTGAGTGATGCATCAAGGCATGAATCTGGTATTAATGACCACGGAGCCTCAGTCTGTAGGGAGCAGCATGGGGGAAGGGAGGGGAATGTATTAATTCTATGCCAGAGTGGGAAAAAACCCTTCTGATTTCAGCTAGCAAGTCAATATAGCTCCTGAAACATGAAGGCTGCTATTGTTTTCCTCACAGCTTTCTCCTCTAGTTCCTCTAACTGCAAATGTCTCTTTTTGTATATGCATGTTTTTAAAAAATGTTGCTAAACTACTTACCAGTCAAATCCCGTGGCAATGTTGATAATAAGTTTTGTAGTATACACATACTTACCTTTTAAGTACTATATGGTTTTTTTTTTTCCCCTTTAATTTCATTTAATGCCCTCCTCTTTGTTCTACTTCCAATTTAATAGCTGGTTTTCATCTGTTTTTTCTCCATGCATATTCATCTTCTCTTTCTCAGATTTGCCTGAGTCTTGTGAAACTGCTGTTTTACTTGGCACATTCTCCCCTGGGTTCAATAGTCCTCTTGGATTTCCAGCCGAGGCAGTTTGTTATGGTGGATGGAAACCTAAAAGTGACGGACATGGATGATGCCAGCACCGAGGAACTGTCCTGCAAGGAAGACAGTGACTGCACACTGGACTTCCCTACAAAAAGCTTTCCCCTCAAGTGCTCTGTGGTTGGGAAATGTGAAGGAATAAATGAAAAGAAGAATCTTTTCAATGCATATCGGTACGCCCAGTGAGATGGGGCAAAAACCTGGTGGGGTTGGGATCACACACTGCCATGTAGCTGCTAGCATCTCGTGTTTCTTCTGTGCAGTGATTCCCCCACACCTCTGTCAAAGGGTAGTTGAGGATCGCTTTGAAGTAAGTTTATTTTCCTTATAAGGCAGGAAAATAGTGTAGTTGTTGTCTGGTGAGAACGCAGGTATCTTTGTTCTGCTGCTCCTTTCCCTCAACGCCCTCTAGAAACTTGCCCCAAAGCTTACACCTGTGAATTTACTGTTTGCCAAACAAGCCCTGGCATTTAACATCCATGGGCTACGTTGGCTGAAAGCAGTGGCAGCACAGGCTACCTGCCAAAGCTCACCAGCTTTGAGCCCTCGTTGTTGGGAACAAGCTTGCTAACTCTTCCCTTGAACTCCGTCTCTCCCTACGGAGAATATGGGCACCTATGTAAGAGCAGTGAAACAGGGAACGGGCAGCGGGCTGAGACCTGGTGTAGGCCACCAGCTAAAAGAGTGAGGACTTCCACTCGCCGCCGATGCTTGGCAGGTCAAGTACAGGGAAGTAAGGGAGCTTCTGTTTGCAGGAGTCAGTGATAAAGGGCAAACCCCTGCATATATTGTTACAGTCTTGCTGTAACAAACAACTCTTGTAGAACAGGAGTTTTCTAGCAGGGTCAGGGAATGAATAGGTGAGTGTCCAGCCTTTCCAGGGGTAATAAGAATGCCAAACTTTTCCAGGGCAAGGGAAAGGTCTTGCATGAATCTTCTTCCGTACAGGTCTTCTTCTGATGAGAAATCCATTGCTTAGTCCACAAAAATGGCCCTGGGGAATGAAGGAGAGCTGCGTTGTGTGAGCCTTTGCAAGGTAGATTTCAGGCGGTGCTTGGCTGCACGCTGCGCTACGAGAGCCAAAGTCTCAGCCCAACCCACAGGAATGCTCTGTGAGGTGCCCGTGAAGTGCTGGAACATAGCTTAATAACCAAAGCAGACTTCCTAGTTTCATATGGATCATCAAGTCACAGGAGAATGCAGACAGCTTCATCTCTAGGGAAATTAAGCCACTGTATTCTAATCAGTCTGTGGGATTTTTTTGCAGGTATTTTTTCACCTATCTGCTCCCACACTCTGCACCACCGGCTTTGCGGCCTTTTTTGAGTGATATTCTGAACGCAACAGGTACCGGCTAATATTCGTAATATTCTTTAGTAGAAGTCTCTGAATGGTGTTTCATGGAATTACTCATCTTCGTCATCTCCTTCTTTAAATGTAGGTGATTTACGGTATGGAATAAATGAAACCCTGAAAGCTTTTGAAAAGGTTTTACATCTGTACAAGTCTGGGCTCTATCTGCAGAAAAGACCTCTTCATTTAAAAGGTACATGATTTTGAAGGCTTTAAGTAACATAACTGCTGAGGGAGTAAGGAACTTGGTAACAGGTCAAATTCTGATCTCCCATACACTCAGTCAGTATTTAGTCACTAGGAAAAGGACCGAAAGCATCTTTTCTTGAGCAGCCTTTTGTTGTTTCTTCATGGGTGTTACGCAAGATGTCATTGTTTTGCAAAGTAAATGCAGTGCAGGCAATCTGGTCTACATATGGACATATGTTTGCCCTGCTGCTAAATACTCCTCTCATAATGTGCATCAGTGTTTCAAGTGAGTATATTTGGGACAGCTTAAGCAACTAGCCCAGAGTAGCCAACTGAGTCGCTCAGGTCCCTCTTTGGGGTCATTTTACCCTCTGGACCAGTAGGTCAGTTTTCCAGGCTGATACTGAAACTTCCCATTTCTCTTGGTTGCTTCTGACTGCTGAGCACATGTTATTGCCTGTGTGGCAGAGTGGCTAGGGCCTCGGTACCCTCAAAATTTCATTCTGAAGACCATCCTATTGGACCTGTGGGTAGATAAATGAGCCTCTGTGAGGTGAATTCCTCTGAAAAGGACCCATTTGGTGGCACAGATGAGGCTAATCAAAAGGAAGGCTTCAAAAGTCCAGTGGTTACTGTGGCTTACATTTTCCTGAGCGCTCACTTGCCATGGTGGGGTGATGATGGTGACTTGTGGAAGGAAATCTCTTTATGTGTGAAAGGACCGGAATTTGCAGTTATGAGCAAGGTTATCCAGTCAGTTGCACTGAAGGAGGAGTAGCTTTAACAGGAATTGCCAGTATTTTCCAACAACACGTACCCATTGGCTTCACAGCTGGCTCAGTAGCAGTGTGCCAAAATGATCACCATCTGGGAGGTGTGGGAACATGGGGAGAGACTCTTAGCAGTCAGTGCACGATAGCCTCAGCATCTCCTGCTCATGTTTGTCAGGTCTTTTGTATCCCACTGGAGCAGGATCTGGCTTCCCTTTCCCTCACCAGGGTTCCTAAATCTCCTGGGTAGATCTGCATGTGCCCCCTGTAACTTGGTGCTGGGTCTGTGAGGAGCTGGTTCTGCTGTTGGGGCTGGGGTGTAGGAGAGGCTGTTGTGAGTTTGGCTTCTCCAGAGCCCTGCTGGAAAGGTGGGTCTGCACAGCACCCACCCCTGCGGTCGCTCCCCTGTCCCCACAACCCCTCTCTTGTATCCATGGAGGAGTTGCTGTCCTGCAGAACTAAAAGCCAGGATTTGGGTTTCTTTAAGTTTGCAGCTCCATCCACTCCATCTAAGCAGGTCAGTTCAATCTTCTACTGTTGCAGCTCTGTAAGGGTTTCACTGCAGTGTGAAATACAAAGTGTGTATTGGATATCAGGAAGAAATTCTTCATGGAGAGGGTGGTGAGGCACTGGAACAGGTTGCCCAGACAAGCTGTGGATGCCCCATCCCTGGAAGTGTTCAAGGCCAGGCTGGATGAGGCTTTGAGCAACCTGGTCTAGTGGAAGGTGTCCCTGCCCATGGCAGGGGGGTTGGAACTAGATGATCTTTAAGATCCCTTCCACCCCAAACCGTTCTGTGATTCTATATATGTTGTCACTAGTCTCTGAAAGTACAGTTAAAACAGTTTCCCTAAATACCCTCTCTCTGTTCCCAGACTACATCTCCCTAAAGGGCTTCCGAACAGTGGAAAGAGAAGACTACAAGTGCTGGCCCTCCTACAGCCACCTGGGATGCCTGCTCTCCGTTCACAGCACTGAGGAAGCCGCTGCAATTTGTAACTCCCAATTTCAGTGTCAGAGTTTTATCATCACCCAGCGGCAGACATGGACAGGTGAGCTTGGGCAGAGGTGATGGGATGCTGCCATGTGGTCTCCCTGCTTCTTCCGTTGTTGTGAGTGGGGATGCTGCTGCCGCCCTTTCCATAGTGCCTTGAGTCTATAGGCATATGTAAAAGCTGCCTTTCTTATTCTCAAGATCAGATGGCTACTGCAGTGAGCATCCAAGGATTCCCTGAATATTTGTTAGGACACACAACAGAAACGATATTCTCCTTCTGCAGATTCTTTCCTGTACAAATTTTGCACAGGACTGCTAAGTGTTGTTGAACAGTTACTTATTTCATGCAGAGATGGCTTCACTATGGTGTTAGGCTGAACAATTCCTGTGGTATATGTATAGTTTGCAAAAAGCTGGGGGGGTTTTAGAGATGAAAGAAGCTTTGTAAAAGGAGGTGGTTACTATTGTTATAATTCAAAAAGAATCATAGCTTACAAGTTATTACCCCCTTTATCAAAACTAAAGCCCCAATCCAATGGATTTCCAAAACGTCCTTGTAATTAGCTCTGATTATAACCTCTTACAGTTAGCGTGTTTTCAGAATTATTATAAATTACCTCATTTAGCTGACACTTCAATTGTGGGCTAAATTGTTAATTATAAAGTGAAACACTAGATGAGGTAAATGAGTGTTTTCAGCGATGCTGCTGAAGAGTCACATCTTGTTGGCTCACATGACATATAGAAAAAAAGGCCCAAAACTGCCAAAAACACAGCTCTCTAGTGGCTTCATGTGCAATTGGCATGTGGCAAAGTAGTGACATAAGAGCACTTGCACTGATGCAACGTAAATTTCCTCAAGCCGGTTTCACACCGGCGATGGATTGAGAGAGTTGTGCCTAATGGATCACATCTGGCTTCCTCACGGGGTGGCTGTTAGTTGCTGTGTTTGGTGCCTGGCTGGAAGGAACCGCACTTAAAACAGCGGTGGGGGTGTAGAAGAAGCAGCACGTGGGACAGAAAACCCTTTCTGCACATCCCTGCCATCCTGCACCTGTGGTCTGTTAGCATTTCAAATTTTTCTTCCTCACTTTTCTACAGCGCATCTTTGCAGCCAAGGATGCCCCAAGCACGTGGCTGAAATGCTGAGTGCCTGACTTTTTGCCAGTTGGGTTCCTGCTAGTCCCTCTTAGGGCAGCTCAGTAAAGCAAAGCAAGACGTAAAAACTTCTGGGGCCCGATTGTGCATTCCTTGTGCACACTCGGTGTGCATCTGGGAGTGTGAAACATGTCTATAGCAAGGTGGAGTGACCCTCCATTGAGCGAGCAGTGTGTTCCTGTGTCTTTTGCAATAAATAGCATGGGTCAAGGTGAACCTATGTCCTCTATTAAACTTGTGTTTTTATTTCCTTTCCAGGACGCCCACTCGCCTCATTTCAGAGTAGCCCGACTGATTTAATACCAGATGCTAATGCTATAGTCTATATTAAACGATCAGCTTCCTCTGGGGAAAGACTTTAAAGACAATGAGATCACATAAAATGATCCTGAGAGGAGCAAACCACTGGGGAGAATTTCATCTGCTGAAAGGAATGACAGTTTATTTTGCTTTGGGATGGGATCCCCTTGCCAGCTCAGATAGAGTCAACTGCTGCTGTCTCCTTGATCAAAGTTCACATTTCTCATTGCAGCCCCACTAGCTTCTTTATCTGTTCCCACACTGCTGTTCCACCTAAACGCTCCCAGTTTTAGTCAAGTATCGCTAGACTGTGCAATACCAAGCCTTGCTGCTTCAGTAACCAGCTTGTTAGCCAAGAAATAGAAATAACTGCAAGGGATCCAGCTTATGTACGCTTAGTTAGTTCAGGCATCTCCAAAAACCCATGGATAACACACCTTGGAGAAGGCAATGGCTCCTTCTGCAGCTGCTGACCAGGATTTCGTACCACTGCGAATGTGAAGGACTGGATTTCAGCCATGGGTCGAGGTTGCAGGGCTGGGACCCATAACCAGAGGTTGATGATGGGGGTGGTCTTCTGAGGAGAGTCCTGATTTAGTTCCTTCCAGGGCAGCGGGGGGAGGTGGTGTATAGGTCAGCTCCGGAACCAAACGTCTGGATGCTCGGATGCAGGATTTGGGTTTGACCTGATGCGATTTGTAGTGCCAGCTCCCATGTATCAACCTTGAAGGTTTTTCTGTTACTTTCCGTGAAAGAGCGAGACATTCAAATTATTTATGTATAAGGCGTTACTCTGGATGATAAAGAATGACTATGTTTATTCTAAGCGTGCTGTGAAAAGTTTTTAGTTGTCCAAGTCTTTACTGCAACCACATGAACAACTGCAAGTGTTGCCCACCTTCGGCTCACCTAGCACCATCACCCATTCCTGAGGACAACCTGTGAGTGTGCTCAGCTGTGTACGAATGCCCAAGCCCCTTGGACACTGAAATCTTGGCGGATGCTTTGTGGCTGCACTTGCAGGGTCACAGGCACAGAAGAGACAGACTGGTCTCAAGACCCTCCTGCATCTGCCCCTTGCTAAAGCGATGATGTGACCTCTGAAGAATAGGTGGGGGTTAGTATAATTTGAGGCTGTAAAGGATGGCAGCATAACGTGCCACTCCCGGGAGTGCCTGGAAGCAGTGACCGTACGGTACATCTTCATCTTCTACATCTATCATGGTCAGGGAAAGCCCAAATCACCGCTGACCTCACACCCCAAAAGGGAAGGTCCCTGTCCTTGTGCAGGAGACCCAGACTGCAGCCTCTGTGCAATGCTGCATTGAGTTTTCCACTGAGTCCACGCTGTTGAGGGGAAACAATGTCTCTTGGGACATTGCCATTGAGTCCTTGTAGCCCACCATGGTGTGACTCTTCCCATGTGGGCCCCTGTAGCAGCTGGGGTACCCCTCAGCTAGGGATGCCTGAGCTCTTGCCTGGGGTTGTGCTGTGTTCTTCATGGCCTGGCCCTGGCTTCCTAGGGCAGGCGCTCACCTTTCAGCTGGTTAGTACTCTGGGGACCCACAGCAATGCCGTTGCATGGGGCCTTTCTCATGCGCTCTGACCCCTGCTGCTTACACTGAGGACTCTGATAGTGATATCAATTAATGAGCATTCCTCGTTAGCACAACAAGAAGGCTTTTAGTGATGGCCACATTGCTGCAGGCTTTGTGAAGGCAAGGCTTTTTAAATGGACAGCCAGACCAGCTCTCTCCATTACAGTGGGTCCTGTGGAAGTTGAAGGAAAGGTCCTGCCAGGGGTCCGCTATTGTTTTACATTGACCCCACTGAGCAGGGCTTCAGGCAGCTGCTGTGTGGTGCTTTACATTAGCAAGAGGTAATGAGTTTATGACATACCTCTCAGCCTCCTGAGATAAATTGGAAGTACATTCCCCAAAGAAGGGGAAGGGCCAGCCCGGAGTCACCTCGGAGAGGAAGAGAAACAGAGAAAGAATGCAAAAGTTGAAATGATTCCAGTTTGTGTTAGAGAGATGTTGCCTTCCTAAAAATCTCTTCTGGTAAAAAAAAACATTGTGTGATTTAGTCGTGTGATGCTCCATTCACGTGGCAAATTTTTCCACAAAGCTTTCACTGTGTGATTGCCAGCCAGGCAGTCAGGTCCAGCCCCTCCGCAGATGGTTCGGGGTATGGCAGTGTTGCTTGGACAAATGTAGGTTCCAGCAGCAAACCACATCATCCTGCCTTGAAAGTTTTGAGCACACAGGGCTTAACAAATAATCATCATAATCATTTAAAAAAACCAATAAAAAGGGAAGTCAGGCTTCAAAGAATCCCAATGCTCAATCTGCTTTTGTGGCTTTTGTAGGACATTTAGTCCAGCCCCTGCAAATGGGACAGTGCCTCCTAGGAGCCTGGATCCCTGTGAGCACAGTCATCGTGCCAGCACAGACAAATAGCTAGGGCACAGGCATACATTCATGTCCAATTCTGTTCATGTGCTAGAGATGGCGAAGATGCCGCAAATACGCTGATAAAAATGTATGAATGGATTCTCCTCATGCCTCTGTGCAGCTCCCCACGGCACATAACGCCTGGTGGGCATGCTGGCGTCAGTCTGGTTTGGGGTGACATCCCACCACAGTCCAAGGGAGCCCAGGGCATGCTGGCTGAGGCACAGGGAAGGAAAGTGTTTTATCACCCTGCTGCATCTAGAGCTGTGGCTTGACATGCCTTTGAGGAAACACAGTCACTGGAAAAAGTGATTCCCACACTGCTTTTTCCCGGCTTCTTATTGTTATCATCTGCTAAGAAACTTTCTCTGATGGCTGTGACACTTTAAAAGCATGTAGAACTCATGCTCTGCCAGCTATCGGCTTGTGACCCCTAAGCTTCAGATGCTGCTGCAGCACCAGGTCTGTGCGGAGCACCCAGGCTGCTCACCACCCGGTGAGCCTATGGGAGAAGCATCTTCTCTACAGCTTTTGGGCCATGTGGTTGTTTTGCACTGCACTGTCTTCATGTCCCATCTCACTCATTCTTTATTCATTCTGTTCTTTTATTAAAATACAACTGCCTCCAGCTGCTTTAGACTGCCAATGGCAGAGAAAATTTCTGTCCACCCCTAAAAACCGTATTTCAGTAACTACGGTGCATGCAAAACGCAGATATAAACATTCGGTGCCCTTAAAACTCCCAGTTGCTGGAGTCAATTTGTCTCTGCTATCGCTGATCAGTATTTCAGCCACCATTGTGGAATATGTAACAGAGGAAAGTGCTTGGAAGGAAACAGCAGGGGATCGATGGCAATGGAAACCATGTGTGCTGGAGGAATAATATTTACCTAAATGTGTCTATCACATCTTCCCAAAGGATGCTGCCATTAGGAGAGAATGGATATGAAAATGTTTCCTCCACAGATAAAAGTTAGGAATACTATTTTTTAAACACAAACTTTAATATTCTTAATTAATTCCATATTGTAATAACAGAGATAAAGCCACATCCATAAAGGATAATACCATGTACTCCAAAGATATAAACCACAGTTTAATAAATAGCAACAGATGCCGCATGACTCATGTTCAGGGTGTTTGTGCAGGCATTTACATGGCTGGTGACTTCATGACGGGTTGACAAGCCGAGTGAGGGGGACTGAGATCAGCAAAGGAAAACCATCAGGCAAGGTTCAAATAACAATGAACCTCAAACCTGTATTCTTACATATTTTGCAGGCTTCGGTGATGCTCTAAGCAGCATTCAAACAGATGAACGTTCAAGTTGTTTTGGGCCGTTTGATAAAAACAGGAATTTATCAGAGGCCCAAATCACACATCTGGGTTAACACTGATTTTGGTAAGGTCTCCTATTAATTCATGTGCCAAGCACTGGTGTTTGTGGCTAGAAGTCAGAGCACTTTGGTCCTACTGGGTTGAAAGAACTGGTTTGGGGTCCAGTTTGAGGAATTAGTGAAGTGTAACTCCAGTACCCAGAACAGCCCATCATGATGGCTTGGTAGGACTTTAGAGTGAATTCATTTTACAAGAGTATATAGTGACAGGACAAGGAGTAATGGCTTTTGAGGGTAAG